AAGACTACTGGCATGGGATAAACTCACAGAGATAATTATTTGCAAGATAAAACACACACACACACACACACACACACACACACCTAATTTATGTAGACTGTATTCGTAGTTCTTCTGGAAAGAGGAAGAATACCTGCAGTTCTCTCTCTGGTCAGGAACTTACTGGATAGATACAGGGTTGAACAGTCCCTTTCAGCAGTCATTCACAATTCGTTTTTCAGCTTCTTGTGACAAATGCGCTCTCTCTCCGCCCTCCGCCCCCTCGTAGGCTTGCTTCAGTTTTCCTTGAAATCATTGTTCCATACTACACAGTTGCCTTCCCTGAAGTCTTCCTGACATTAACTGCCTACTGATTTCACTCTGGTCAAAAGTTTACCCAGGAAACCCCTTCTGGAGTCTTCCACTCCTTACTGGTTCTCACAGCTTCTGCCTTCAATGGCCTTAGTGCTTCCCCTGCAGGTGACCACCAGAAAACACTCTAGTCCAGGCACAGGCAAACTCGGCCCTCCAGATGTTTTTGGCCTACAATTCCCATCATCCCTGACCACTGGTCCTGCTAGCTAGGGATCGTGGGAGTTGTAGGCCAAAAACATCTGGAGGGCTGAGTTTGCCTATGCCTGCTCTAGTCAGGCAGACCCCGGACAGAACAGTGACTGCCCGTATGCACAGGTTTACTTGGGATTCTCTGACAGATGGGTCTGAATTACAACTGTTGCTACCAGCTCATTGGTCTATAACTATGGACTTATTAGAGCTAATAGAAGGTTCCTGAATTGCAACATGAAAGAATTAAACTTTTGAATCCCTCTGTTTAATATAAAAGGTGACAGGTCTAACTGTGAGCTACTGTTAAAGCCTATAGCAGCTTTTTTCACAACTGTAGCAACTGACAGCAGCTGGCACACAAAGCAAAAGTTAGGGTTTCCACTAGCCTTTTCATCTTTCATGTAAACACAGTAACTTTATATCTATAGCCATTCCTGTTTCCATACCAACAAAGTAAGAAGAGCTCTGCTGGATCAGGCCCAAGGCCCACCCTGCTCTCACAGTGGATAACCAGATGCTCACAGTGGATAATCGCAAGCAGGACCAGTTATGGGGACTGCTCTCCCAATTTATGATTCCCACATTTTTTTACACCACATTTTGAAATATTTTACCTCAGAACTTTTTTTGATACTCCACAAGGCAGCTTTGCATATTAAAAAAAGGCCAATGCACTTGTGCTTCTGCCTTCCACTGATTCCTACACAACAGAGAACACATGAATATCTCTCTCCTTACACCAGTAAGCTGTGGGATTCCAGATGTATGCAGTTCACAATTATTTCTCCAAATGAAAATATGTGTAAGCTTCCTTTTTCACATGCCATAAAAAAGTGGAAATGCAATTGCACTCATGTACCTGCTTGCTGCCATTTCTCATCATGTGAGAAACAGCCTTCATTAAAAAAACCCCCAAAGCATCTTACAATCAGTTACTGTGTGCCAATGAAGTTTAATAAAGAAACATGTCTGGATTCTTTAGTTCTATAACATAGGCAACATAGGCATGTTACTGAATAATCTCTAGCAATTCCCAACTGTCCTAGACTGGAAGGGTGAGTTTCATTGTCATGGCTGTGACTTTCAGATTTTGTCAGCTTTTAATTAAGCTCTGTTTTTCAGGATCAGTATGTATTATTATTATTATTATTATTATTATTATTATTATTTATTACATGCTGCCCTTTATCTGAGCATCACAGGGCAGTTTACAGTATAAAAACACAAAAATATATACCATAGTAACAAACCAAAACAATAGCCACAATAACCAAAACAATAGCCAGTTTAAAGGGCCATAGATTGTTTAATTAGCCAAAGTCCTGGGAAAAGTGGAATGTTTTTGCATGGCATCTAAAGATATGTAACAAATGTGCCAGGGAGCCTCCTGGGAAGAGCATTCCATGAACTGAGTGTCAATGCAGAAAAGACCTGTTCTCAAGTTGCCAACCTCTGGACCTCTTGTGGAGGAAGGAGGTACACAAAGAAGAGCCTCAGATGATGGCTGCAGGGTCCGGGTTGTTTCTTATCTATCCTTATTTCTTCACTGTGAGGATCAAAAGCAGTACACTCTGTCTCTGTAGTGCAGTATGTTTGCACAACTACAAATTAAAAGCCAATTAAAAACAAGGAGATTGCAAAATGCAATGAATTCAAAACATTTTCACAATCCCAAGATTAATTTACTTTTAGCCATTCATTTAATCTAGAACATAAGCAAATAATTCTAGCCAATTACTTCTGGCAGTAAAACAGGACATGCCATTACTATAACTTCTCAAAATATACGAAAGCTTTTAATCTTTGCCAATTTGGTACCCAATAACCCTGTAGAGTAGATACCATGGTATTAGTAGGTACAGTGTTCCAAACATGCCCTTAAAAATACTAAATACTGTACCAATTTGCCTGAAGATATAATTGGTTTGCTTTAACTTTTGCTACACAAATTTTTAATGATTCAAGAAAAGGTAGCTTAAATAACTTACAATAAAATGTGCATAAAATTTCACAAATGATAGATACTGAGTAGGCACAGGTGAATCTCTGGGTCAAAGAAGCAGGGGACCCACCCACCCCAAGTTTCAATTAAACAGTGTCTTGATTAAGAAAGACAAGTGCAAAAGCAACCAAAACAGAGTGGGAATAGACATCTTGAATACTAAATGCTGCACCAAGAAGTTAAACACTCTGTTCCAGCTCTTCCAAGTAAATGTGAAGGCATGGCCCATTCACTTCTTGTCTCCTCCTGGTCCCCAGACTAATAAAAAGAAGCAATCAGGTCAGGTCCCAGATGCTTAATGGAAGCCTGGTATAGGTTTCCCCCCCTTTGGGATGGTGAGGGAGGCATGAACTGTGAACACGGTGAACAAGATAGAGCACTATCAGCATTCAGGCTGCCACAATAGGCAATTTCATTCCACAAAGGCTGAACACTGACATGTACCTACCAAAATCTTGGCAACTACAGTTGAAATGTTCCTGCTGGAGTAAAACAGAGCTATAGCTCCTAGCACCCCTAACCAACTACAACTCCCAGGATTGGCTGGGGGGGGGGGAGAAATGTACAGTACTTTAAATGCATGGTGTTTATGCAGCCCAAATTGAACACAGGACGTACAGGTTTCCATAGGTTAGGTTCAAAAAAGAAATCTCTCTTAAATAGCAGGCTCTGCACTGGTATGATTCTAGATCAACAAAGACAAGAGTCTTAAAGAAATCATGGGAGACAACTGTCTCAATTCATCATTAAAATGCCAAAACAGCATCAAAATAACACAAAATAAATGCAGTGGCCATATGAGCAATTGTCACTAAAGGACAATCCTGATATCAAACGAGAACACTGTGCAGCCAAAAGACTGTGGTGACATTAAAACTCTGTTTCTCTGTTATTACAAAATGACAATATTGTTTTTAGTCAATTTCTCTTAACCAGATTGACAGAATTACAGGTTGACATTACTGTGAAATTTTATGATGTATCATGTTAACTGTGCCAGTTTGATTAGCCTTGATTGACAGCTAGTACCTGCATAGCAAGTTAAATAATCTCAGAAAAACACAGCGCCTGCATCCCTGGCATTAATATAAACGTAATGATAACTACAAGTTACAAAAAGTAGCAACAACAATAAAAAGGCAGTATAAGGGTGGGGGGATGGATACAGATACATTTATTTTAGCACCCATTTACATTCCCAGTAATATTCTCTATATTTCATACACTTTTGAACATGTAATCGTAGAACACTGAAACAGCATATAAATAGAGATATTTATTCTATTGAAATAGAGTCCTAGTATCCTGTTCTACGATCTTGTGGTATTATAACTTTTAAAAAAGCAATTCAGCCATCTCAGCATGAACAATCACTGTATCAGAGCCATCATGTTAACCATAATGCTTATAAAATGCCCATCTATCACATGAACAGAAGAAGAAAGCTTAGCAAACTAAGGAGAAAGTCAGTGTTTTCTTAGTCTGTGCCCCTGTATGGAATACAATGCTCAGTTTTTTATAAGGGAAAGTCGCTTGTTGTGAAATCTGTAAACAAGAACAAGACCACATTTGCAGGATAACGAATCTGTATACTAGCAGAGATGAGGCACAATGTGAAGAGCTTGCCCATCTCAACTTTTGAAATCTTGAACAGGAGAACACTATCCCATCTCACAAATAGGGAACTGCTGATCGAGAGTGTCTAATGCCTCAACCGAGTTAGTGCCATGGATCTCTGGATTACAGAAAGTATTTGTAGATCAGGCTCTTTGACTGACTTGAAAATAAGCAGTAAACTCAGATTTAACAAATCTGTTTAAGTTTGTGGAAGCCACACATTGGCCCAATCAGTTAGACTTTCGGTGCCCTAAAAATGCTGGAAATCAGCAAAATGGCAGCCTACGGTTTCAGCTTACTTAGCTGGCTGAGGAACTGTGACTTCCATTTTTTTATTAATATTTACCTTTTTTAAAAATATATATAATCAGGTTCAAAATAAACTGTGGTATTTTAAAATCAATTAATTGTTTGGCACAGTAATATATATTATGGTTTAGTCGGTAAGGTATTGGTGGTTTGGGGTGTGGCTGTTTGAAATCTTTATTGTACGGTATTTCTGAGATGTAACCCATTACAGTGAAGAGTACATAACAAATTATTATTATTATTATTATTATTATTATTGCATGCCTGTCTGGTTTATAGTGCTGACAATATTTATAATACAGTAAAATATAATCAGGGAAAATTGCTTAATAATTGATGTTAGGGCAAAGAAACAACAATGCAACCAGATCGACATCTATTTCTATGGGACCCTCTCTTCTGTTTATGGAGATAAATCCAATGGAGGAGAGCACCCATTGTGTTTTCACCTCAGCAAGTGTTATGCTGACAAGTGAACTTTTTTCTAGTGCCTTTTCTTATTTAATTTTTTCACTTTTCTTTTTTGTGGTGTATTTGTCATTTCTGAGGTGTATAAATGACAGAAAGGTGCCTGCCATCAGGCAGCAGGGCCCATAATTTTGGTTGGCCTTGCTGATTTTCATCATGTAATGGTTTATAACATCATGAATCTATTACCAAGGGAGGTTTGGTCTAGTCAGTCACCCATGCCTGTTCTATCTTTACTCACAATGAGACAATAGCCCTGGTTGAATAAACTTGTAGACCACTGGGAATTGCTATCCCTTCATCTAGAAAGCCCTTTGAATGCACTTCCTTATCTGGCCATGACACCCTTAAAAGGTTTCTTCCCCAGTGAGAGACGAAAAGCAGTTAGCTAACACTCTAAACCCTTTCTGAATGCGACGTATGGAAGAATTTGCTTCAGCATTATTTCTGTACCTAAGGAAGTAAGAATTCTACGATGCGGAAATTTCCCCACTGGGAAAGCGACTGCTTCTGTACATGAGGTTCAGAAACAACATTAGAGCACAATCGCAAAGGTCTAGTGTCTTTCTTTCCTGAGTAGAATAGCAGAAGCAACATGTAATGCATCGGGGTCTAAGCATTTTGAGGGGAGGAGTTATACAAGGTTAGTTAAAGCTCACTGTTGTAGACAGCTTTCCACTTTCCCTCTCACATCATCAGTATTCAAATTAAAATGTGTTCTTTATATGCAATATACTTAAAGGACAGGGTCTGCTTCAGCAGCCAAATCAGAAATTGTTATTTCCCTGTGGCTGCACAGATGAATCTACCTATATAATGTTGTGTATGTCTTCAAACTCCCGTCTTTCTAGTCTTTTCCTGAAATACTTGTTTTCTGTTCTTCCTCCAGCACTTATTTCTGCCAGAGTATTAGTATAAATCAGGGTGGAGGGAGGAGATTTAGGGTATTAGAGAGTGGGCGTTCATTGGTTGGGGTAATGAGAGAGATTCCCTGCTACACAAGTATTAAATTCCGCCCTGTTTTTAAGGCAAGCCACGCAAGCCTGGAACTATGAGTCTTGATGACATTCCTTCATCCTTCAGTGCTTTGGAACTGGACTTTGGCCCCAGCGTATGTGAGCTGGCTCACTTAATTTTATCTACTTGGTGAACTTTATTTGGTTCACAAGACTAAGTGCTTGAAATTGGCATAGAAAGTATGGTGTGATGGATGAGATTTGTGTATAGGCTCTAGGTCACACACCGAAACCTCAATACTTAGTCAATATTTCTTTCAGATGTTTCCTCTGTAATGCTTAGGAGGCATAGGCATTTGTGGATCACAAATGGTCCAAGCAGCCTAGTACCTTATTCTCCCACTTAGCTTTCTCTCCAAGAGGGCCAGCAACCAGTGCTCTAGCCACAGAACATATCAGGAGTAAATAAGGCAGGTCTAGCCCTCTCCCCAACACTTGCAATGTCCCAGCACAGGGTTGCAAGACCCAACTAAACCCAGCTGCGGGGAGCATGCACCCGAGGGCCGCTGCAGTATCAGCCACCTTTCTGCTTCCTTCCCTTCAGCATGCCACAGCTACCTATCACTGGGTCACAGAATCGTGGAGTTGAAAGGGATCCCAAGGGTCATCCAGTCCAACCTCCTGCAATGCAGGAATCTCAGCTAAAGCATCCATGACAGATGGCCATCCAACCTCTGCTAAAAAACCTCCAAGGAAGGAGAGGGTTTCTACTGTGCAGCTGAAACATTATTTGCAATGTTCCTGCTGGAGTAAAACTCTATGAGGTTATTTGTATTTAGAAGTTTTGGAATATCCCTCTCTTCACAATCCATTTATGCAAGCCACTTTGACTAATAATAATAAAAATAATAACACGTTCCCACAACTGGAATCCGTTTAGTTTCAAAAAATGTTTGTCTTCCTCTGCCCCAGCTGCAACAAAGCATGTCTCTCCCATTTCAGTATCTACAGCCACAGCAGGAGCTGTAACCCTACAATGGTTTGACTTCACCCCCAAAGGCAGCCATTTTCTCCTGAGACAAACTGATGCCAACAGGTTGAAGGAATGGTCATATAAACAGAACCCTGATCATTCTTTTTAGGTGAGGTGTGATGACTAGGAAACACTTTGGGTGAAGCTTCTGAATTCATACTCTGATGCTCAAACCATTTTAATTAGTCTCCTCTTTGAATAGTTGGCTTGAGTTGCTTTATATTTGCTAATTATAATGTTAAACATTTTGCTCCCTGAAGTACAACCATAGGAACCAATTCCTGGAAACAATTTTTGTCTAAACATCTACTACTTGGATATAATCAAATAAAAATGACGACTAGATAATCATTGGGAATCTTGGGATATTTCCAAATTCCTGTCACTTCCAAATCATGCATATGAAAGGAGAAATCCCTTCTTAATTATTATACCCATTTGATTTTGTTGGAAGTCAGTTTTCTGATTTTTGCCAAGATGAGAAGGATCCTATCCAAGTCAAGTAACTATTTTTCTTTCCATGAATTTATTTCATGTGATTAAAGAGTGTACAGAGAAAAGTTCAAGTAACTCTGCCCATGAATGGTTCCTTTTTTGAGAGAGAGAGAGAGAGAGAGAGAGAGAGAGAGAGAGAGAGAGAGAGAGAAATTAACAATAAATAATCAGTGAACAATCTTAGAATAGAGGAGACAACATTCATAGGAGCTAAATAAAAAATTATAATAATTTAAAAGGGAAGATCATTATAGTCCAGAGTCATAAGAGCAGAACATAACCTATGCCATGACTGCAGCTTTAATCTCTAAATAAGTATTTACGCATTACGGAAGCAGCAGTTGCATATAAAATATTTTCAGGATACTTTTGAAGAATACACTTGGATAATGGGCAATAATCATTTGCAGATTTATGGTTATCATACCTGTAAGTTTAAATATAAAGCTTTATCAAAATAATTTCATAGAGTCATTTCATTGATCAAAATTAATGTGAAACAACTGATGTTTCAAATTCCATGGGTACCACCTACCTCCTAAGACTGCTCAGATTTATTTTTGGTGATGCATTGATAGGTGTATGCTTCTCCAACTGGGGCAGAAGACCATCTTTCAACAGGTGTTGAAAAGTTTATCATACCATGCTACAGGCATGCCAGAAATGGAATGGATACGTGTCTCTGTCACTAAACTACGGGCATGATGTAGAAAGACTCTATATCAAACACAGTGTCCCGCTTGTGATTCCTGCTCTCCTAATTATTGTTCACTGCAATTTTACTCTGGGACTGGGACTGGGGATACTGGATCATACTCCAGGAGACACGTTAGGGGTATGCTTGTTTGTGAGACTTTTCCTTATCAAAAAGACTTCTACTTTTGCACTGAATAACTAACTTAGTTGGTCTCTAAGGTGCTACTGGAAGGATTTGTTTTATTTTGTTAAACTTTAATATGCAATAAAGGATGCTTTGCCATTGTGCTGGAGGGGATGCAGGGAAAGAGGATTGCTGCTCAATATGTGGTGGGGCTGTCCTCTTGCTTAGCAATTCTGGAAGGAGTTGTTCTCAGAACTAAATAACACTAACAACCAGAACCTTCACTTGGATCTGATACTAGCTCTGTTCTCAGTTAGAAGTGGTGTACTCGACCTCCAGTATCTCAAATGGTAACGTAGAGTAGTGATACCTCCACTGAATGGTATGAGGACTGTAGAAATTTATTTACAATTCTGGCATTTCGTTTTCTCCAGCAGACCTGTATTATTTCTTGTTGATGACGTTATGCTTAACTCTTTGAAAATCAGTAAAAGTTGATAGGAAAGGAAAGCTCATCAAAACCATCTTGCCATTAGGTATAGAGCTGGTTTTTAAAAAATACTGTTCTTTATAAAAATACCACAGTCTCAGTGGGCTGTTTTCTGGAGTTGTTGCACTGACATGTAACTGCATCTTTGAATATAGAAGCCTTTAAGTAAAAGAACACAGAGTGGTATCCAATTGGTGTTCCTCAAAGGACAGGAGGCGTTCCTCAACTAAATAGGGAGGAAGGCAATTTTGGGGGATTCTTCCTCTTGCTTCCAGTCTGCCATGCACTCCCAAAATCTGCTCCAGAGGAATCCCCAACCCCCTGAGCAATTTTTTTGTGGGGAATGGAGGGGGTTGTAGGTTGCAGGGAAGAGGAGGATTCAGTGAATTCCCCCCCCCCTTTCAGTTCCATGGATAGATGTATTTTGTGGGTGTAGAAAATCACAAAAACAACAAGCCTGGGGGTCTCTGACTTCATAAATAAGGTATTTCACATATTAAATCTGTTCATATTTTCCCCCATTGAATATTCACAGAATAATAATATTAAAGCAGTTCCCTTTATTTTGCTAAACTTATAAAACAACAGCATAAAAGCCTTCCTATTTTTCTGCAGTACCTGAAAGCATGTAGCATTCCTCTTTCTTCCCAGCTACAGGCTAATTCACCAACAGACTAGTTAAAATACAATTAGTCCAATTTCACATTTCCAAGCAGCCGAAAAATTTCATGTTATTTCAGTCACAGTGGATGGATGCCAAGTTCACTGGAAACAACCCTGCTGATTTATCTAGTCCATTTTAATACTTTAGAAATACTGTTAAAACATGGCTGTCCTAATTACACAGGGATCAGTGCACAGCGTCCCTCTCACCCTGGATTCTCCCAGAAGGACTGCAATCACCTGCCTTTCCCCTAATTTCACCATGCAATTCCAACTAATTTCATCCTAGTACAGTGCTGTCAGACAACTCCCATGTCTCTGCGGTTTTAATCGATTAGCTCAATGTCTCTATAATGCATCACCAGCTGCCAGGCAAAGAACTGGACGCTTTGCAAGCATTTCAGCTAAAAGACAGTTTAATTACTATACCAGCATCTCAAAGGCATAACACAAAGACTTGGAAGGGAATTATTAAAAAAATTGGTGTCAACAAATCATTTAATAACTGAGCAAACAATGACATGCAAAAAGCTGGAAAAGATGAGAAAGTCAGATTTTTTTTAAAGTGCGTTTTTAATAGACTAATGTATTCAGGAAAATAGACTGGCATGGTATTGCAGTTTACATACCAAACTTTTGCTTTACAATAATTCTCTCATTGGAAATAAAGGCATGTTTTCAAATGACACTATATTAATACCAAATTCTGAAGACAGAAAAAGGTAGAGCGTGTTAGGAGGGAGTTGAAATAAATAAGACATCTATATAGGAATTCACAAACAACTGAGCTTGAATGCAAACTCTAGTTACCTGGTAGCATTTTCCACTATACATGAGAATTTGCATGAGTGAGCATGATGGCCAGAGACTGTAAGAAGGAGGGGGAGAAATTAAGGTGGTCTTAGCATGCTTCTTCTTAACCATGAAATAATGTTTTGAAATGTAACAAAAAAATTAAAAGTTACAAGAATTATGACAATTCACTTACAGAAGAACTTCCAAAAGACCAAGAGCAAAGAACCAAACAATTTGCAGAAAAGAAGGAATAAACAGAATAGGGTACAATGTTCTTAAGTGTTAAGATGTTAAACAAATGGTTTATGAGCATTTGCTTTAGTTCAATTTGCTCTGCGTATCCAAAGCAGTGACCAGAGAAGGAATGACCACTGGGAGGAGCGCAGAAAGAAGAAATATCATGATACACCTGCATTAGCACAACTGACGCCTTCATCTGCCCCCGCTGCAACAAAACATGTCCTCTCGTAATGGTATCTACAGCCCCAGCAGCCACTGTAACTCTCCAACTGTTTGACTTCACTTCCAAAGGCACACTCTTCCATTGTCTCCCAAGATAGACAGGTGCCAACCACACCTTCTGACTAAGGCTGCAATCTTAACCTCTTAACCTCACTTAGCCAGAAGAAAGCCCTACTGAACCAAATGGGACTTACAGCACAGGGCTAACCATTTCTACTCAGAAGGAAGTTTAAGCCCACCTCCTTTTTTTTCTTGTTGTTGATCTGAAGGAACAGTTACCAATTTTATAACAGACATACAAATCAAATACGGTACATGCACAACAAATAGAAACAACGGTAAGGAACGAGGATTAACAAGTAAAGCATAACGTTCTTCAATGAAACTATATTACAGAGTGGATGTAGAAGAGTTTGCTTTGGACTTAATGTGCCAGAAAAAGAACATGAATAGGATAGAGGGCTGGGGAAGGTGCAAAGCATGCAAATGTAATGACGATCATATGGCGTTGGATAACCATGGTATGAGGGACGCGGGTGGCACTGTGGTCTAAACCACAGAGCCTAGAGCTTGCCGATCAGAAGGTCGGCGGTTCGAATCCCCGCGACGGGGTGAGCTCCCGTTGCTCGGTCCCTGCTCCTGCCAACCTAGCAGTTTGAAAGCACATCCAAGTGCAAGTAGATAACTAGGTACCGTTCCGGTGGGAAGGTAAACGGCGTTTCCATGCACTGCTCTGGTTCGCCAGTAGTGGCTTAGTCATGCTGGCCACATGACCCGGAAGCTGTACGCCAGCTCCCTCGGCCAGTAAAGCGAGATGAGCACCACAACCCCAGAGTCGGCCACGACTGGACCTAATGGTCAGGGGTCCCTTTACCTTTACCCATGATATCACATTCAGAGACTTGCAGTACATATCTTTGCATGTTATTGGCAAAGACATTTTGCCACTTTGTATACCCCTTTGTTCCACAAAGTTTGTGCATATCCCAGATCAAGATGGGGCCTAGGAGCTTGCCCCAGTAGCAGGTGTGGTACACTTTTGTGGAAATGGGAATGCTACCTCTTTTAGTTTTAATTCCTCTTGTAGACGTGTCTAAAGTTACCAGGAGCCTCTGCAACGAAAGATCGGACTTTTCAGCAGGTGTCCAAGTCACAGTCCCTCGTGTACATGTTACCCACACTCAACACTATAGCACCATAGGGCCCCCAGCAGAAATGGACCAGAAAGATTAGAATCTCTCGTGCTCATGCATCAGTATCCACTAGAAATTCTAATCCTATCGGTAAGCCCACTGAACTGCTAATAAAGCTGCACTGGTTTAATTGGTGGTTATTTGACTACCTAATGCTTTCTGATGATCCCCTTATACACACTTAATACACATTAAGGAAGCAGTTGCTTTATGATTGTTATTATTTTTCCTGAGTGCAGACACTGCTTTGAAGAACACCTGAGGTTTTTGTTTGTGTTTATGAAGGCTATGTCATACGCGATTGGATATCCTTGCGATTTATTGTTGCCACTTCATAATGAATAAGAGAGCCACTTATTCATAATATCTGCAAACAAATTTAGCCACTTTACCCTAGAGAATATCCACTGAGTTTTCCAAAGTCTGATTAACAAGTGTCTTGAGACTGTTGTTCCCAGGGCTATCAACCTTTAGTTATTCCTCCCTTTAATTGTCATTCAAGGCCAATTTAATGACAGTAGTGCTCTCCTGGTCTTCCCACCATCCACACATGTTCAGCTTGTGGTGAAAGAAGCCGCTCCTCCATGAAACGCAGCTTCAATTTTTCAAGTTCTTAACTAATTGTAATAGAAATTTTAAAACTAAAGGGGGTGGGGAAATATTGTGTCCTATGACACTTTCCCTCCCG